ATCTCCAAATTAAGCAAACTCGTTATGGAATTTTCATTTATCAAAGTAAGCATTTATTGGACGTGTTCAAGAGGTTCGATGGATGTCTTGAAGCCAATGAACACTCCTATGAACACATCTATAAAATTGGACAAGGATGACCAATGTACTTCCGTTGATATAACAAAATATCGAGGTATTATCGGATATCTTCTTTATTTAACCGTAAGTATACTCGATATTGTGTTTAGTGTGTGCTTATGTGCTAGATTTTAATCGAATCCTAAAGAATCACATCTTAAGGCCGTAAAAAGAATATTTAGATATCTTAGTAGCACTAAAACTTTATGGCTTTGGTATCCTAATGGCACTCACATTGATCTACTTAGCTATTCGGATATTGATTGGGCCAGTTGCACCATCGATCGTAAAAGCACTAGCGGAACACGTCATTTTCTAGGTTTTCACTTACATCATGGTTTAGTAAGAAACAAAATTCCGTTGCATTATCTACCGTCGAAACCGAATATATCTCGACCGCTAGTTATTGTACACAAGTATTATGAATGAAACAAAATTTTAGTGATTATCACTTATTCTTTTATCATATACCTATCATGTGTGATAACACTAGTAACATAAACTTGTCAAAAAAATCATATTTTGCACTCTAGGACGAAGCACAATGAAATTAGACATCACTTCATAAGAGACCATGCTTAAAAGGGTCATATCTGTTAGAGTTTGTGAACACAGAAAAACAATTGGCTGATTTCTTCACTAAACCTCTAGCTCTTAATCGTTTCTCACATACTAGAAGAGGTTTGGCCATTATTGATGAATTCGAAATGTATGACTAAATTATATTCTTATTATATGTTTTATCTTCATTATTTCATGTACACCATATTTATGCGATCTAATATGTTTTATTAAAAAAGGGGAAATCGGAAGAACAAATCGGACATCTGGATAGGAGAACCGAACGTCCGAATCTGCAAAAATCAGATTTCTTAAATCGCGATTCAGGCTCATTTCTTCCCATATTTCTCCCCCTTTTCTCATTTCTTTGCCTTAATTAGCATACACAGTCTTCCCATTTGAAAGTGCAAGAACTAGAAACAAACAGTTAAACCACAAGTTTCATTAAAGTGATCGAAACTATTGTAGGCCATGACAAAAATATGGGAATAACGTATTTTCAGGATTAGGAAGGTTTTCAAAACAAATTGTACCGGTCAATGGTACAAAATTATATATATGTGAGCTACATATTGAATGCTTCCATAATACATAGCTTAGTGATCGTGTTGTTCATACTTCATCAGGCTATATATGTCTTTCTTTCACATGAAATAACTCAATTATGTACCTATGTTTTTTTAATGCATAGAAACCATACAAAGGGTGGGCTTTACCTCTGTTTGCTCCTTCCATGTGTGCAAATTGAAAACTCATTTAGATGTACTGTTGTGTACACATTTCAAGTGATGACTTTTGTGGGCAAGCCGACTAATTTCCTCCTCCGTGTTTTGGGGTTTAGGTTATGGGATACAAGTGGGTGGAGGGATGGGAGATTAGGGATTGGAAACACTTTAGGAATTTTGGAAATTGGAAGAAAAGCAATTCGTGCAAATTGTTCTCCAAGGGTTCAATTTGGGTGGGAGTGAATTAGGGATCGTGAGTAAAAAAAGTTGTATTTTAATTTCCAGCACATGAAATTGGGTTTTTATTTTTTCATAAAACGCGTCTTCATGTGACAAGAGAAGATGTCGGCAGTTGATATGGACGATTCCGTCTTGCCACATCAAAAGCCATTCAAATGGTAATTAGGGGAGTGTTGGATGGAGTGAATTTTGTGTAAGTTAAATAACCATTTATAAGAATCTCAAAGTTGAGTGAGTATACAAATTAAAAAAAAAAGTTGAGTGATTATAACATGCTAGTACGTAAAGTTGAGCCAATAATGAGACCTTTTTGTGGATAGGCACTATGACAATCAAAGTCGAAGACCTCAATAACAATTCTCTCTTATTACTTGAATTGTTATGTGCGCTTGGTTTGGCATTCTAAAGATAAGCCAAGCTCGATGTCATACTCGATGGCGTGTAAATTTGTTGCTATTCCTTGTGGTAGTGGTCCTTGTGATTTTCACATTCTTGATTTTATCTAGAACCCTAGGGCTCAAATTGCCAGAATGGGCAGAGATGAACAAAATGAATTTGTTTCAGTTTCAAACCCAAGGGAATCCTAATCCTAATTCGAATTATTCTTCTGTGGAAATAGGTGCTGGTCCTTATCACGATTGGGAACTTTTTGCTGCCGACTATCGGGATATGTTGCAAAATTTGAAGATTTTTGTATATTTCGATGTCTCCATGAGCGATGAATCATCCCCTTTCGCTCGCATTTTTCTTCCCCTTCCTGATCCCTTTCTCACGACACACATTCTCCCAATGTTGACTCACCAGAAGAAGAAGCTGCACAATCAGCAGCTCACTATTCCAGCATGGCAAGGAGCTCACGTTCAGCATACCTCAGCTCCTCCTTCTAGATTCTTCTAGCTTCTTCCTCAGTTTGTTAAAACTGTTAGTCTGTTGTTGGTTTGTTATTTTGTTAGTCTACAAATAAGGGCAATGTACTCACTTTTGATTTAATGAGAAATGGAGTAATTTTTCCTCTTCTTCATTCAATTAGCTGCTTCGTTTTTCTTGGTTGATCCAAAAATTGGGAATTACTTCAGTGAGCACGCGTTTAAGCATGCCCTTCTATGGAGTTCTCGTCACCCAACATCCGGAGGAGGCTAATTTCTTCTCCATGCCCTTTTCCATCTATAACATGCGAAATCACCCACTGTTACACTCAGAATCATCCATCTCCAATTTTGTTGCCCAGTATACGTCGAGGATAAGCTTGGAGTTCAAGTTCTGGAATTCCCCTGGAGGCGCTGATCACTTCTACATCTGCTGCCATTCAGTTGGACAAGATACTGCCTCCAAGTATCTTGCTTTACGTAATAATGCTATCCAGATCACTTGCTCGTCCAGTTATTTTCAGAGGCTCTACACTGCCTACAAAGATATAGCGTTACCCCAAGTTTGGCCTCGACAGTACGAGCAAGTATTGAATCCTCCCGAAGCAAGGTATACCTAACCTATTTTTAGTTTTTTTTTACTTAGCAGTAGTTCAGTTATGCACTGCTGCCAAATGGCTAGCCAAGGAGTTAAGTAATGATGTGGCATAGATGCCAAAATCAAACCAATATATCTTATGTCTAATTATCACTCCTAAGCTTGCTAACTTGATTTAGCTGAATATGCTTTGGAAGAATTTAAAAGCAATTCAAAAGGTAATATCTTTTGTTTCTCAATTCACATTAGGATTTAGGGACTAGGGGTATACAG